GTTTATAATTTTTATTTTATTTATTAAAACCTTTAATATTAATATTATATAGGACCTATATTAGGTATATACAGAAAGATGTTTTTATTGGATTAGATATTTTTCTCTTTAGTGGTTACATTTCTACATATTTGCAATAGTTTCTAGGAAACGTCTACATAATATACACATCACGGTGTTCACAATTCTTACGTACAAGCAGTCACTTCTACTTGTGCAACTTTCCGAGCGCACAATCGCTTGTTAACACGTTGTCAACCGAACAAGTCACACTTGAATAGATATCTCTAAAAGGATGTTTACAAAAATTGGACAAAATCTCGTGTTAGAAGTGTCGTTAATGCAAAGCTTGAAAATACAAACTATCTCACATTATTGTGAAATAAAGTTTCTTAAAATAATTCGTCCATAACTCACTTGATACTTAACGAAAGGTGGACTTTCGTGATGAAACTTATTGTTTTTAAGCCTTACCTTGAGAAAGCAATGCAGCTAAACCTAAAAAGGCAATTAAAAATTTGAAGCGAAACATATGCACAATTAGCGATGGACTTTGAAACACTTTGAATCGCTTTGAATATGTAGGTAAGTAATGTGACGAAAAATTCGAACCACTTCGAACATTATTCGATACTTGAAATTTTTGATAAGTCTTGAGTCTTGAGTATCGATAGATCTTGAGTCATTAATGTTTCGATACGCCTTGAAAGTCCAGAAACTTGCGTCTTGAGAGGTCTCGAGTCTTGAGTCTTGAGAGGTCCTGCATCTTGAGAGATCTCGAGTCATGAGAGGTCTTGAGTCTTTGCAGTTCCCATATGTTTTGAAAGTCTTGAAAGTCTTAATAGGTTTCAATGTTTTGATAGGATTTGAAAGTTTGGTGCGTAGTTAATACCTACGTACTTGTTGAGCACTCAGTATCCTGCAAACATTTTGAATGCCTTTGCCCAAACCGTATCATTAACGTAAAATATTAATGGCATATTGAATACTTACCAAGTTTTCAAGACTTCCAAGACTTTCAAGACTTACCAAGAGTTTTACGTATCGAATTAAATTCGATACATGAGTGATTCGAATTTTCACAGCATTGAAAACCTTCGAATCGCTTCGAAATTGAGATTCAAATGCCCGTCACCAGTCAGACCCTTTAAAATTCCTAGGCTAACGCATTCAATTAGAAGGGCGCTCCTCAAAACCACCTACGATCCGAAGAGTCGTGTGTTGCTTAAATCTTAGGGTCACGAACAAATTTGCGGCCGCCTAAAGGCCGTTTCGTGTGCACGCACGCTTGATGCACGATGTGTGCGTAGTCATGCGAATCGTGGACGTTGGTCAGGCCAGTCGTCGAGGGACGAGGGATCATGCCCAGAGCAGCATCATTTATCAGCCGGCGGCCGTCCGCTCGTTTATTATTTCACTTTGCCGAGTATTAATTGAGATTTGGAGCCCGCAGCCAGGCTTTTGCGTACTCCACACCCGGAAACGATCGTCCCGGTTGGACGATGTTCTTGCTTCGACGACGCGTATATGCATACCTTCCAGGTCATTTTACAAACGAACAAGTTCCTGTCGCGATGAACATTTTTATACTGTAATTAACAGGCGATTTCGAAACTCTCACATTTTTTGCAATTTCCCTTGCGGAATATACTTCTGCCGACAGCGTAACTATTATTTGGAAACGCGTTTCGATATTTAACCCTTTTCCTTGTGTAGCCACCGTGATCTCGCGAGAAACTGATTTCGATGAAATGTCAGAATTGGCAATTGATCGACGTGACAAATCCGCCCAAAGCAATTCACAGCGAGCTGATACTCGAAATCATTTCTGTGAAATGTTTAGACAGAGTGAGTGCACTTAATGCACCGAATGCATTTAGATAAGTATTGATAAGATTAACGTTATAATAAAACATCTTTAATTTATTAACAATTTTATTGATAACATTAATAATCTTTTGCAGAGTGGTAAATTTCTAAACAGTTTGGAATGTGCACCACTTTCCTTATCCACGCCAATTATAGGAAGATTTCTTTTTGAATATGGTCAAATAATTTCATTAGTTTCGCTGTCACTATCCATTTTGGAATCTAGCTAGATAAAAGTACTACCTACTTTACACTCCACTAATAAATTAATTTTCTTCTTATTGAAATTAATGTACAGGGTGAGTCACGAGAAACAGAACACCTATATATTTTCGTTAAGATTGAAGATAGGAGAAAATGTTCAAGGGGCGAATGATACAAACAGATCTTCTGATTAGCGTTCTCTTTAAGGTTTTTCAAAGATCATCGATAGTTTTTTAAATGGCACCATATATTTTTGACTTCATAGCGTAGCATTTAGATAATGTCAAGGCGAGTTCAACGATACACGATAGTATGACCTTGAAATGATTTTGGACTGAAAAAAAAATTGACAAAGATTTGCAAGAAGCGCATTTGTCTGCCTATGACACAGTAGAGTGCCACTGGTTAATTGAACCGCGAATTTATTACGTCCTTACCCGTTGAGAGCTTTCAGTAAGGCCACTTTCGAACACCAAGATCAGACGACATTCGTGTTCACATTTCAGAGAGTCAACATTCGACGTACACTCTCGTTCATAAATATTAAGACACTTACTGAACGTAAAAGTATTGCTGAATTCTACCGAGATTTATTGAAATTTACTGAAATTTAAACTACATAAATGCTACCGAATTCTACAGACGTCTACTTAAATGTACTAAAATCTGCTTATTGAATGTGAGTCAAGCCTCATTGTTATCACAAATTTAACCCTTTCGCTGCGGCGAATTTTTTCACAAAAGCTGCAAAATTTTCCTTTTTTGGCCGTATCATTTAAAAATTTGTTTTATTGAATTACTGTGGAAGAGTGCAAAGGATAAAATTACGGCTTAAATTAATATGGAAGTGCGCCAAAAGGCTCCAGTAGCATAATGCGAACAGGTTTTCAATGCGCTTATAGGCGCCAATAGCAGTGAAATGGTTAATGTAAAAAATTATCAAGATCATAAAAAAAAATTATTCATTCAAAAATCTCCAAATATAACAAAGTATACCTAAATATGTACATTTTTACTAATACGTGGCACTAACTGTCACGTGACACTTTCTACATGTATCTGTCGGGTGCCCGATTTGAAAATAAAACACGAGCGACCTGCACAAAGGCACATTTCACTTAAAAATAAAATGAAATTAAACGAACAATTATTTGAAAGTAAAACACAAGCGGTGTACCTTTCGATAGGAATGTAGCACGACGCTAAAACAAACATCTCTACCGAAGTGCGATAAGATGCCCGCCACCTCTGAAATTCGGGCACGAACTTTTGCAATCGTCCAATACACGATCTGTGCCCCAATACTTATGAACGCTACTGTACACAGAACGTTAGTCAAGCGCAAGTGGTTAATGTATTTCTCCTTTTTATCGTTACAGACTGAAATCGAAACAGAGACAGAATGCGCGGATAGCATTCTCTGTTCCAACAACAACAACGTCAACGCCAACAACAACAACAACAACAATAACAACAATGTAGCCAGTATCAAGAAAGTTGGCGCCAGTATCACTAACAACGAAGGACACGATGGAATGGAAATGGATTGCGGTGGTTGCGGGGAAAGCGTTCGCGAACGTACCGTCCTCTGCGTAGGGGGTCGTACCTGGCATTCCAGGTGCCTCAAGTGTTGCGCCTGTGCAAGACCCCTGCACGATCAACACTCCTGTTTTCTCCGAGGGATGCGGCTTTACTGCAGGCACGACTACGCCTTGTAAGTACAACTGGTTTCTATTTCCAGGGTCACCGTATCCCGGGTGTCGAAGTTTAACCTTTAATTATTTCTCCAACCAGCGAGAAACCTCTGTCTCTCGGCACCGGTGATTTATGCGGGTGAACACGGACTATCTGGTTTTTATTGCATCCTGGCGCTTAGTTTTACAGCACATCGACTTTTCGTCGAGATTGTACGAATAATTGATGCGATAACCGAGAGCCCGCTGTTATTTTTTATTCGTTTTGTGATGTAGCCATTAGTTCTAGAATTTGGTTCCTGTTTTTTTTTGTTTCGTGAGCTAGTGCAGTTGATATACGTAGAATACGAGTGTTCTAGATTTTTCTATGTTGGTTTTGCAGTATATGATGTAGATAATTAGTTTATGAATTTTTTGGTATTGTAGGTAGAATGCAATACAAGGAAATATCTATTTCTCATTTGTTTTGAATAACGAATCTTTTTCATTTTACATCTTCGTATTGAATAATGCAAAATACATTGAGCTACATAATATGGCAAATATCTCAGGCATCGTAAATAAAAAATTATTCAGACTACCTCCACGTGGTCTTTCCCCAGAAACCAATGAGTATTGCAATTTGTATTCTGTTCGTTATGATTCTATTATACAGAGCGGTTGTGCATTTAATAAATTTTTGAAGTCTTCCTTCTCGAGAAAACAGGACTCTATTTATAAAACTTTCATGAATTAGTTTTTTAACCCTTTCATTACTATAGGCGTTTTGAAAATTTGCTCGCACTATACTGTTAGAGCTTTTTGCTGCCCTTCCATCTTAATATGATACTTAATTTCATCCTTACACACTTCCAGCTTAACTTAAAACGATACGGCCAAAGTAACAAATTTTGCAGCCGTGCTTAAAAATTTACCGTCAGTCATCCACGTAGCAAAAGGTTAAGAAGATTACCTACTGTTAACAGTAATCGAAAAATTACGAAAAAATTTTATTTTCCTTATTTTCGGTTCATTTCTCCGTATAGAATCCTGACCCTGTGTATTCATAAGCATTGTCTTGTAATAAAATTTCCTAAAGCTCATCCGAACAATTTAATCAATCTAATCTTACTATTTTATACTTAATTCATACTTATCAACCTTCACACAATTTACAACCGACTGTACTCGAAACATTCGCTCGCTAATCACACACGTCCAATTATAAAACTTCGGTTAATTGCGTTCCCATCGCGAGACAAAATTGAACACTTCCTGCTAAGTCTTCTACAAGTGAACCAATGGTATCTCGTTCATCGAAACACAGCGTTCAATCATTCGGTCACGATACATACGTAATCGACCGGGAGCGACAGTTGTCCTGCGATCCAGAAGCAACACGGGGGATTATCGATGAATCCAATAATATCCCGGCTGATCGAAGCCGGCAGAGACACCCCACTGGTACGTAACCGGTAAGCAAAGCCAAGCTTAAGAGGACGTTTCACGACTACCACTCGGGAGCTCCTGGAACGAACGATCATTTGTTCGACTTACGGGACAGTTCTCGTAGAGTATACGCTGACACCGGCACAACCGATATCTCGGACACCCTGTCGAGCTAGCTAGTTTCAAAGGATTCCACGAACATCTCCCTTGGGATAGGTTTCGAAGGGTATCGGCCTGGATCACGAGTTCATGACTCGCCAAAACACTCCGATACTGGCTTTTCATCCTTTTGTCACGGTGAAGAGGGGACACGTTGTGCTCGTTTTCATGTTAAAATTGTAGCGAAGTGTCGTGTAGTTTTTCATTTGAACCGAAGATGAATGTTGATTTTCGCAACGAAGATTCTCCGAGTTTTGTTTAATATGGGTAGGTATACTAATTACCCTGTTAATTGGGGAGGAAGAGTTAACTCCTCGTTGATTAGCTAATACTTAGGACACAATAGTTTATTTATCGAGGGATTGTTCATTTTTTATTGCACTGTTATGCCCTTTCTTGATTTTCTACTGCCAGCCCACATCACTTTCCCTGGTACTGTTTATGACATTTCATCGGGGAAAGTGTACGGGTACTCAAATTCCGGAAAATGTGGCCATCGAGCTATGTACATGCTATCTATCAATAATTTCCTCTGTAGGGCCACTGTATTTAACCCGCACAACGGTATCAAATGGCACTTGATTAACAAACAAAATCATTAAATAAATAAATATTATTCATGCTTCAAGACTTAATAGAGGAATTCAAGATTAATCATCTTCCCTCATTCCTTTCTGTTTCAAAGTAGATAGAGACAAAAATTAACTTCAGAACTTCAATTAATAAAATGAAGTAAATATAAAAAATTAGATTATTTTCTAAAATTACATTTAATGAAATCAATCCAAAAATTCTAAAAGTTATTAAAATTAATCCATAAGTATATAAATTCTATTATAAATAAATCATCAATATGTGTGATTTTATGAAATACAAAAATGCTAATAAAGGAAAGCAGAATGGAATCAGTTGCACTGTTATGCCTCCATTAAGTCTTAAACCTGTAATAAGTGTACCTAACATTCCTTCGTCCACAAAAATGGTCCAAAAGAGGCAATTCACTAAGAAAACACAGAAACGCCTTTAGAATGATCTCGCTAAAAAGCTGGCTCTCCTTTTCAGTCACGTGGCCGTCACGTGGGTGCAGATATTCCCGCAGATCAACAGATATCCAGTACGCGCGTATTCGACGTAGGGTCGAGAGATTCGCCAGTGGGTGATTAATGTCTTCCGATGTAGTCTTCTTGGTTCTGTCTTCTTCGTCTTCTTCTTCTTCTTCTTTGGACCTCACGCGTACAGTCGGCTATTCACGTCACCGAGCGTATACGTGTACCACGCATGCTCGCGCGCGAGCTGCGAGTCACGTTGTGACGTTGAAGCCGAGCACGAATAAAGGACACCTCAACTGACGTTTTCTCGCGGTTACAGGTATATACGTCGGTGAAAAAGAGAAGACACGCGTTTTCGACCGATCGCGACGTACACGAATATTCGCGACAGCGCTTTCCAATCGACAGCCGTCGTAACTGTATACCCGTTATATACCAGAGAAACTGGCACATTGAGCTTGAATGATTTTTAGCGATTGCGCTGCACGGTTCTGTACCTTTTGTGACTACGTTCGAAATTGATATAAAGGAATTTGAAGAAAGGTGTCGCGGACGTGTTCCCTTGGGATATTGCAGCCAGTGGTGTCATTTTTATTTATCATTCCCTTTCTGTTTTAAAAATAACAAACGAATTTTCGAGATATCGAAAATTTCCTTTATGTTTTAAAATACTAAATGAATTTTGAAGGTATTGAAAATTTTCCTTCTATTTTGATATATTACACGGATTTTTCAGATAGAGAAAATTAAAATTTTTGAAAAAATTGTGTTAAAATGAAGGTATTAGGATATTAAAAATTGTGCACTTTGAGTAACTCTGGTGGTAACAATTGGGGTCTGTTTTTATACTTTTCTTCTTTATTTACTTTGAAGCAGAAGGGAACGAGGAAGGATGATTAATCATGAACTGGTAGGGTTACTTTCAAGACACTGTATATTGTTGTGTTCAAACCTCGCATTTAATTAGGTACAGCAATCATTTAAAAACAATGCGGAGTGTATCATAAATCAATCTAGGTATTTCATTTACACATTTGCTGCAAAATAAAATCAGCAATATTCCTAAAGATTCAATTGAAAGATCCTACATTTCGTCTGCTAACATAAATCATGAATTAAAAATTTCTGTTCAAAATCGAACGATTAACCATATCGAAAGACTTTTATAAATTTGAAGCTGTAGAATGGACAATTCTATCTTCAACTCTTGGATCATTCATTTCTACCAAATCCTCGATGTGTCTCACGGGCTAGAGTCTACACAGAATCGATCGAACCAACTCGAACGATTACAAAGTGATTCCACGAGTAAGTTACTTTTCTCTTGGAGAACACGAAAATACAGGCACGCATGTGCGTGGCTGCCGAGTCACGAGCAAAGACTGCCAGTGTTCCAGCGGTCTAAGGAATTCGCCTCGTAAGGCAGCTCGGAGCCAGCTGCGATTCCCTCTCTTTGGTCCACCCTCGTGTGTCGGTGCTTTTCAACCCGGGACGGGTGTCTTTTAAATTAATAAATATTCGCCGACGCTATTCTCCGCCCCCTACCACGATCGTTTTCCCGTGTCGCTTCGAATTCAAGGGGTACGAAAAAAAAGAGGAGAGGAGAGAGAGAGAGAGGCGGTGAAAGAATGCAAAGAAGCAAAGGACGCGAGGTTCGGCAAGCAGAGTGAACCAGAAATCGCTCTATTAGCGGTACCAGCAACGAAATTCCGGTTCTCTTAAAGGATCTCCCTACCGTGACGGTCGAAAAAATCGATTTTTTTTTGTATAAATTAATAGTAAGTCCGCGTAGTAGTAAAGTGAAATTCGAAGTATTAACCAGGCTACAACGTCATAGTTACGCGTCACGCGTTCGCCAATTAGGTGACGGAGACTAAAAAATGTACCTTCAAGGTATTGTTAGATTCGAATCCTTATGGCGACAATTTTCAAGTGTGAAAAGTCAGCGTGCTGGTCATGTTGAGAAATGAATGGATACACGGTTTCTGAATATATAAAGAAAAATAGAGAATCTTGGAGGAAAAGGTAGATTAACATATGTCCTTACGAAAAAAACTAACAAATTATTACGACTTAACAATAAGGAGAAATGTGAACTCCGCCGATGAAACTGAGAAACTGAAATTCGTTTTCGAACAGCAATACAAAATTTTCACCGACACTTACGACGCGGAGCGACTGAAAAGACAGCAAGCCGCCTTCTAAATAAGTCTAAAGAGGCTCAGACAACAACAATTTGAACAAGAATTTTTTGAGGGAGCAGATATGGAATAGCAAATTAGCGAAAAACAGGTGTAAGATCTTTTAAATTCTTATTTTTCCATACTCAACACTTTAACCGCGTTTTGCTCGAAACAATTTTCTTCAAATTGGTTGTCATATCT